CGAATAACACCGATTTCTCTAGGAGAGAGAAAAGGTGGCGAAAACTCAAAGAAGAGAACTCAAGAAAATCTGAAAATCTGAAGTATGAATTGATGAGCCACTTTGGGAAAATAACAGTATTTATAATACATTTGGAAATTGTAAAAGAACTAGGAAATAATAACTAGGATAGATCTAAATATCTAATCTGATAGGGTCGAACTCTCCTTGGTTGATCTCCACCGTCCGATCTCCCTAGATGCATGTATCTTGGATTATCTTACTAATCTTGATGCTTCTTGGAGTCTTTCTTGGTAATCTTGGAAGAGCCTTGCATTATCCTGCTAATCTTGGAAGAGTCTTGCTAATCTTGGATTCTTTGATCCCTTGCTTATCTTGAATTCTTGGATCTTAGTTAACTTATCCTTATCCTAGGAGCTATCGCCCTTAGGGATGAGATGGGCCTTGTGATGGGCCTCCATCAGCTCTTCTCCAAACTCAGAAGGAGGAGGAGGAGGAGGAAAAAGAAAATTAGAGACCTAAGATGGGGAGATTTGTTTCAGTGATCTGAAGGAAGAAGTAGATGAATAATGTTTCTACCCTTTTTTGTATTTTTTTAAATTACCTTATTCTAGAAATTATGTTAATTTTTTTTTTTATTAATAACAAGACCCAAAAGATAAAAGTTGCCCTTATCAGCTATAATCCATTAATTCCAACTGAGGTTCTGCCACCAACCCATACTCACCCCTGTGTAGGAATGGCAATTTTACCCACAAAATCGGGTCCCCAATCTGAGCCGCCCCCAACGGGGCGGATTTTCCCCAATCACAAATGCATACGGGTCGGTCTCGGGGAATTTTCTTTTGCCCCGGACCGGGGATGGGGTCTGCTTATAAATCCCCTGACCCGTCCCGACCCCAATTGTGAATTACAAACATACCCTTTTATATATAATGTATTAAGGTATTGGGTTAAGACTTGCCTCTTGTTTCCCTCAACACTTTAACAATGATTATTCACTATTCGTCTTCCTTCAACCTTCGCTCATATAGAGAGATATTGAGTCAGAGACTTTGCCTACCAACTGGAGAGAAGAGGAACCGCCGACCGCTGGGCTCCGCCGCTGCCATAGCACAGAGGAACCGCAGACTATCGGGCGTCGCACGGCCACAGTGATTCACTCTTCAGTCTTTGTCTTCGAGACTTCTCAGTCTAACAGTCTTCCTTCGATCTTCATAGTGAATCAATTGATTGTCCATTACCAGCCTTCCTTCGTTCTTCGTTCATAGCAACAGACTTCCCAGTCTTCCTTCGTTCTTCCATCTTCACTGTGTTTCTTGATACTTTCATTGTCCATTACCAGCCTTAAACCTTTATTACAGTTTGGGTTTTCCATTTTTTGCTTCCTCCATCTTTTCTTATCATGTGATTGCCTCAGAGAAAACTAATGAGAGTAGACAGGAGAGAAACGAATGAAAAAACTTGTACATAGAGTTTTCATGGATCTCAGTATCCCGTGGGTCATATACTAATAGGTTACAAAGCCCGAGTTGTTCAGTTTGGATTTCCTACTAATTTTAATATGCTCTCTTCGTTGTGTTTCAATTGAACCAAAAGGTGTGTATTAGCACAAGAGCAACCTGTTCATCTTTGTTTCAGTTAAGAACATTGAACTTCGTCACTATTATAGGGACTGAAGCAAATTGATGCATTACGGTGATCCAAATTTCCAGGAGGAAAACAAAAAATTCTCAAGTTATTGATTTAAACTTGCTTACAAGTTCTAAGTTTTTTTTTATCAGTGAAGTTCTAAAAATCACTAAAAAATAAACACGGATATATTTTGTTACTTTCAAATTAATTTTACAGTGAAATGAACGGCCATTAGGCTATTACCCGTCCCAAGTTCAATGGTTGTGGGGCAGGGACATGTCGGAGATTTCCCATCCCCGATACCAGGGATAAGGCGGGGACAAGTTAAGGGATTTTAGCCACGGGATTGGTGCATTGGGTGGGGGTAATTGTTATTTTGAAATGTTGTAGGTTTGTGATGGAAATCAGAATATTGCAGTGGGTCTGTCCGTACTTTTCCGAAAAATTAAACTCTCGGACTGAGAGAGAGAATGTTTGAGTCCGAGGCGGTCACTTTGTGCGAGAAAAATACTTACCCCTCCCTCCCAAGACCCCATATGGCCAGACGGCTATAGCCAACATCGGTAATGGCCAAATCTTTTTGATAAACCACTCCAAAAGAACGAACACTGGATCAATGCTCCATTCATGTCGGCGAGTGTTTTGAGTAGACTTGACCCTCTGCCATGCTTGCCATATTTATTCCGTATCAACTACCACTCCTTCCCATATAACTGCCTTTTGAACTCATGTTCCTCACTAGCAGAGCTCAAACAAATCCATGCCCGAGTTCTAATGGATGGGTTCTCACAACACCTTCACTTAGCCACAAAACTCATCACTCTGGCGGGGATACTGGCCCCGACCATGGACTACGCTCGTAAACTGTTCGACCGAGTTCCTCAACGAGACGCCTTCCTCTGGAACACTTTGATCAGGGGATATGCTGATATGGGTCCTTGCGAAGAAGTTTTTGTTCTTTACAGAAACATGCATTTGTCCGGACTTTTACCCGATAACTACACTTTCCCATTTGTAGTCAGGTCCTGCGCCGTTCTCTCCGCTCTCAGAGAAGGGAAAGAGGTGCATTGTAATATAATTAAGAATGGATTTGATTCGGATGTTTTTGTTCAGAGCTCCTTGGTGTCGATGTACTCTCAAAGTGGGGAGACTAAGGATTCAGAATCGATTTTTGATGAAATGATTGTGAGAAACATAGTTTCTTGGACGGCTATGATCTCAGGTTATGTTCAAAATGGATTCTATAAAGAGGGATTGAGTGTTTTCAGGAGGATGGTGGCTTCAGGAACTCAACCCAATGCGGTCACACTTGTCAGCATCCTTCCTGCCTGTGGTGGTTTGGAAGTTCTCAATTTGGGAAAACTGATTCATGGGTATGGAGTTAAATTGGGTGTGGATTCTGATACCCCGTTAGTAAATTCTTTGATTTCCTTATATGGTAAATGTAGGAATGTTGATATAGCTCGATCTCTGTTTGATCAGATGGTGGCCCGGAACTTGGTCTCCTGGAATGCCATGATTGGTGCATATGAACAGAATGGTGCATCTAGGGATGCAATTAAGCTCTTCCGCAGGATGCGAAATGAGAAGGTGGAATTCGATTACATCACAACGGTTAGCTTAATTTCCGCTTGTGCTAGTATGGGGGCACTCAACACAGGAAAATGGGCTCATGAGCTTGTTACAAGCAAAGGACTCGAGATCAATGTTTCAATCACCAATGCACTTATAGACATGTATGCTAAATGTGGAAGCATAGAATCGGCTAGGGATGTTTTTGATAAGTTGCCTAAAAGAAGTGTGGTTTCTTGGACTGCTATGATTGGAGCTTATGCAGCTCATGGGTATGGAGAAGATGCACTCAAACTCTTCTCAAAGATGCAAGAGGAGGGAATACAACCGAATAGCTTCACCTTTACTGCTGTCTTAACAGCTTGTAGGCATTCAGGTCTTGTTGAAGAAGGGAGGAAGCATTTCGAGAGCATGACCAGAGACTACTTGATTGCACCTGGTTTAGAGCAATGTGCATGTATGGTAGACCTTCTTGGCCGAGCTGGTCGGTTAACTGAGGCTTACGAGTTCATCAAGGGAATCCCAGTCGAACCAGATGCTGGTGTCTGGGGTGCTTTGCTTGGTGCTTGCAGAATTCATGGGAATGTTGAGCTGGCTGAACTTGTGGCTGAACATCTTATCCAATTAGACCCTCAAACTGTTACATACTATGTGCTTCTATCAAATATCTATGCAGAAGCTGGTAGGTGGGAAGATGTAGCGAGGTTGAGAGAGCTGATGAAGGAGAGAGAGTTGAAAAAAATTCCAGGACGCAGCCTTGTAGAAATAAACCGGAGGTTCCATGCATTTCCTTCAGGCCCAAAACCACACCAGTAATGACAGATAATAGATTTGATTCTCCTATGTTTTTCACACCCATTCCAATGGAGCTCTTCCCAAGATCCCATTGTTCATATTTGTAATTGGTTGCAACAAAGGTTGCCAATACACCTTTGCGGATTATGATTGGGGAGTACACAGATAGCTAAAGAGCAAGCTAATCAAACAAAGTGGGCTTGTATCATTTTTTATGTTACAGACATAATAGAAAAGCCAAGAAAAATGACTTGGTGAGATACAGGTTTAATTTGGAGATTCCAAATATTGTACTTATTTATATGTTTATAGAATGAATAAAGCAAAATTCTTTGTTTATTTTTGTATGTTCTTGTTCTATATTTTTGTGCTAACTTGCCAAAAAAATACAAGCTCAAAACCCAAGTAGTAGATTTTGAGTTCTAAAGGAGTAACTGCAGTCCAAAACATGGGAAGAGAGAAGTACTATTTTGCTCTCATCATTGCTCAGGGAAGGGGTCAACTGTTTATGATGGCAATGGCCAATAGGATCAAATTGGATCATGTATCAGCAAATAAGAGAGTTCCAACTTCAACAGCAAAGATCTGCTCATGGTCTATGGTATGGACATGCTTCTCTCCCACAATGTGGATATGCATGTTTATGGGTAAGTCACAGATTCGTGAATTTGGGCCGATTTAGCATAAATAAAGAAGCCTATAAAACTCGTTTACATGCAAATCGGGACCAACAAAACTCACACTGTCAACGACTCCCCTGAAGTGGTTGCAGCCTCTATTCATTTAATGCAAATGTTCTCAGTTGACTTTATCCTCCCCATAGAGTTATGTCTTCCATTTTGGAGCCCCCACCACCCCTCCCACTTTGCCAAGAGGGGATCGTAAGTTAAGTTTTGATGGCAGTGCTATAGGGACCCCAGGTGATTGCAGGTATTGGAGGTGTGATTAGAGGGAGGGATGGGACTATCTGCTGGATTTCAAGTGGCCCATTAGGAACAGGTGATTCTACAAAGACTGAAGTCGTGGCAGCTCTCACGGGGATTAAAATGCAAAAGCGTTGGGAATCTTAAGCTTAACAATTGAAAGTGATTCAGCAAACACAATTAAGTGGTTGCAAGGGAAGGCTGAAGGTCCTTGGAGATTGGCGCATTACATTTTTGAAGCAAGAGATATTCTAATATGTTTGCAAGTATAGTTTGAATTCCTAGGGTTCTGAATGTAATTGCTAACGGTTTAGCTTAAGCTGGGATTCATAGGGATTCTTTGTATAGCAATAGTAAGCTTCCTTTGTCACCTGCGTTTTCTTCTTCTCCTTCGTGGACATCTTCTCATGTAATCTGTTTTTTTAATGAAATCTCTGTTACTCTTGCTAGGAAAAAAAATTACCATATATTTGAATGGCAATCATTTTATTTCTATCAAATGACAAATACATTTCAAATTACAGTCATTTAAGCAAGCTGAAATTGGTATGTTCTTCAAAGGTATTCTAACATTTGGGCGCTTGTGACCAGTATAATTACTATGTTGGCCTCTCAAAATGAACTCCTGTGCAAAATGTTGGAATCAATCCGAAACACTGAAATTTTCTGGCTGGATCAATCTGAGGAGCCTAGCATTGGCGAGTGCAAAAGGAACGTGTGAACTTTGAACATTAGTGGTTCAATTTCTGGTTAGATACACTTGCCAGAGAGACCACTAGTCAATTTAGCTTCACACCACCATTTCAGCTTCCTTAACACTACTTGGGATACCAATATCCAACCTCATGGTCGGTTTATATTGTTCTGGTACAACTGCCCCACCCTGCACGCACATCTCCACCACTGCAGGAGCTTGGCCATAGAAGCTCCTAAGCTCCACTTGTAAAGGTGGGCCATTCACATCTAGTACATGCCAAACATACCTTGGTGGTATCAAGTCATCCAGCACAGCCGCTTGCCACCCATGCTGTCCATTCCTCTGTTGGTGCTTGTATGCCCCACAGTTTTGTGCCTTGTGCCCACTTGGACCCACATGCACCTCTGGACAGTAACCACACACCCTCACTGGATACTTCTTCATAAGCTTCAGGGCCCCATCCCTCATCTTCTGCCATGCTTTAAGAGTTGCTTCAGAGAGCAAGGCAACCTCTTCAGAGGTAGATGGAGGAATTATTTCTAAATCAGGAATTTCAGTTAATATTGGTTTTCTATTGGTGTCTGGGATGGGATCTGGTAAATCATCTTCATCCGCATCAATGATCTCACTTTTCCCAACACGGATCACGGGCTTTCTTCTTCTTTTTGTGGGTAGATCAGGCAGATCAAGTCCAGCTTGGACACAAAGCTCAACAATTGCTGGAACCCGTGGAATCGAGAACCTTTCCTCATGAGCAATCCGCCTTCCAAGACGGTCAAAAAGGTGGTATGCTTCAATTGGCAAAAGTACGTCTTCAACAGTTGCTTTTGTCCACTCATGAAGGCCCTTCCGGGCCCCAGCTTTCTGGCCCCTACATGACTTAAATGGGTGACCAACAGGTCCAACGTGGATTTCATTGCACCATCTGCAGAATGAAAGGCATAACCAAATAAGACTAAAGAACATTTGCACAATAAATAACCAACTTAGAAGATATAACTTGGTGCAATAATACAAGACAATCAAGTTGAAGCCCCACTTAGAAATTAAGTATATATTGTAGAATATGCGATGATCTTTTAAACCTCCAAGAACATAAAACATTTCAGATGGTTACAGACATCCAACGTGCACAACATTTTGGATGAATAAATAACTTCCCAAGAACATTAAATACGGATCTTGTTTGCATGAACCATATCTTGGAGTGCATACTGTATTTACAATTTCACATATTGCAGTATGGAGCTCATACTTCCTTTTTCAGATCCCTTTTACATTCCCTCATGTACACATTCCATTTAAATGGATATTTCACGGTTTCCTTTCTTCCAAAAAAAGAAGAAAATTAAGACTGAAACTTACTTGCAAGCATGTACTGGTACCACCTTTATGAGCTTCTTTAGATTGTTGATCAATGTGATTCTCGCATTAAAGACTTCATATGCTACTGGTATAAGACGTCGAACCAGTAACCCATTTCGCGGAGGTGGAACTGGTCTCTTTGGTTGGCCTTTTCTGCTCTTCTGCCTTTCTCTGGCAGCTCTCCTAAGCTCAACTATAGGTATTGGAAAGGGCTTCTTCTCCTTCTTCGAGTAGTACCTAGGTAAATCCGCATTTTGAGGATAATTGTTTTTAATCACAAAAACATCTGAAGAAGGTCGACATGAAACCTGATGCAAGACTCTAAACACCAACGGAAGTTTAAGTTCATTGCCCGCATACTGCAAAGAAAACATGAAGCTTCTTGAGAAAGGGTAAGTTGATATTGCATCACAACCCATGGATTATAATTGACTTGAAAATACCTTAGGCTGCATCAACTGAAGCAATACATTGAGAAAAAAGAAAACGATAAATATGTTAAACAATCAGAAATTGTAAAACAGTATCTACCATGAAAAAATAGGGTACTCATAGGGTAAATTATAGGGATGGTACAGACTTGCCAAACTGGTCCAGGAACAGAGCCTAGGTCTTATGCATCCCATCCTAAAAGATCCATATAGAAACATTGACCGATTGGATGAACTTGTTAAGCTCCTATATGGAACAACTTCTTGGACTTTACCAAACTTTTCTAAGAATTGGAAAGAATGTAGTTTGGTTGAGGGTAATGAACCCACCACCATGTCTGATTATTCACAAGGAGATTGCATATGTAGGAGGACATGAATTTACCATCAAGTCCTCTTCCTAGGACAAAAACAGGGGCTCAGCCCCTATGTTTTCTGCACTGTCTTTTCTTCCTTCTTTTCCTTCTAATGATTGCTGATTTTCTATGCTTTAATATGAATTTAAAAAGTTTACACTTTTTTATGAAAAAAATATATAAAACAGTAATAAGACCAGCAATGTTGTATGCAGCAGACTGCAGAGTGTTGGGCAGTCAAAAAGCATTTCAAAAAAGAATGTGTGGTAGAAATAAATATGCTGAGATGAATAAGTGGAAAAACTAAAAAGACATTATCAGAAATAAAGTCATTCAAAGGAACCTAGAAATAGCTCCAATAGGTGATAAAATAAGAGAGTAGATTAAGATGGTTTGGTACATCACTAGTATGAAGAATCAATCATAAGTTGAAGGGGCTAAAAGGACTAGGGGCAGACCAAAAAGGACATGGGTTGTAGTAAGAAATGATTTAAGCGTTCATAAGTTAACAATGGATATGGCACTAAACAGAACAGAATGGAGAAACAGGATTCATGTAGCTAACCCCATATAGTCGGGGCAAGGCTTATGAAGATTATTGATAATTACTAGTGAAAGATGATTGCTGATTGCCATGAAACCTAGGAAATTACCCAAGGATTCAAGGTTTTTATTAAAAAAATGCATCAACAAGGTGACAAGGCGGCTCCCTGTCACCTAGCCTTGGTGCCTTGCTAACTATGAGAAGCAAGGAAAAGGCTTAAAAAAAGAATTTGGAAATGTAAAGTTTTGGGGTGGATACTTACTAAGAATGCCATTTTCTATACAAGTAACAAAATACTTATGGCACATCTTAGGAATGCATATATTTTTTCCCTAATAAAGAAAGGCATTTATTGAAGAAGACATGAAATATAATATCAATACTTTAGTAGAGAGTGTGTATGTTTTATAAAATATACCTTCCAAGTTATGTTATACCAGTGTCAGGAATGAAATGGCACCCGATACTACATGGACATTTCCAAATATACTCTATAAAATTAACACTCCAAAATATGTAAAGTGGTATGTTTAGTGTTTAGAAAATCATACCACGAAATATGTATTAGAAATTTTGGCAAGACAATAATTCTTGAAGTAGCTTCAAAAGTCAGATAACAATAATATGGGGATCTGAATAGAAACCTCTTGTATGTTATAAGGTCCTCTCCCTTGATCCTCCAGCCCACCCCACTCCCCTCCCTTGTTATCCCCTAGGCCTCTTGTTGAGTTTTGGGCTGATATCACTTGCTTTTTTATGTACATACCATATTTAGGAAGTTACTAGGCCCAAGGCACATTAGATTATGTTTAAGTTAAGAATGTTTATTTAGATTTTACAAGTAGCCGACTTACTAAGGGCATACTTGTCATTGTATTCAGTTTTTATTTGTGAGTATGTAAGCTAATGAAAGGAGTGCCCAGACCTAATTTTGGCTTATCCCATTCTCTTCAATTTCTCTCCTCTTCTCTTCTCTGCATAAACCTTCTCTTCTCTTTCTTTTCGTTTTTCTTACACAGGTTTTCTATCAAAACAAATTTTCTAAATTTTTCAACTTGGTATCAGAGCAAGTTTGCACTTTTTTTGTGGATTTGCAATCCCTTGTAGCTGATCTAGGGTTTAAATCAGGAAGAACTAGAGAAAGGGGAAGAGTCATGATTTAGTAGGACTCTTCAATTTTGACTTAGGAAGTGGCACTCTAGTTTTTTAGAGTTTCTTGAGGTTTTTTGAGGAGGGTGGTTCAAGTCCCAGGCTTTTTGGAGGCCTATAGAGGGAGCAGCAGCCTCCTCTCTTTCTTCTCCTGCTCCTACGGAAAAGGGAATCTTTGGAGGAAAGGGCTCATAGGGTATCAAGAAGGTGTTTGAGGTTTCTAAAGGAGATAAATCTCTTTCTTTTCATCTCAAATTGATTTCCTAATCTGTTCTGGAAGTTATGGAGAGTTGTGGTGTAGAAAACAACTTTGCATGTGAAATGAGACCAGGGGGAGGAGGTGTTAGAGATGTTTTTGGGGCTAGGACCATCACTACAGTCAAGTTAGATGGTACAAACTACTTAGAATGGTCACAATGTGCAAAGATGGCTATTGGAGCTCGTGAGAAATTGGGGTATGTCGCCGGTGAAGAAAAGAAACCTAAGACTAAACTACTCCCAGTGGGTATAGGAGAACTACATGGTGATGACCTGGTTGTGCAATTCCATGCTACCCCATATAAGTAAGAACTTTGTATGGGTTAACACAACTAAGGAGATTTTGGATGGAGTAGCAGAAAGGAAGAACAAGCATATTGTGGAAATAGCAAGAAGCACGATATTGAGCTCTACACTTCCAGTTCATTTTTTGTGGTGATGCAATTCTTATAGCAGTTTTCTTGATTAATCGGGTGCCTTCTCGTGTTCTTAGATATAGCACTCCATTCAGCATTCTTTTTCCCGAGGGGGAGATGTTCCATATTCCTCTAAAGGTTTATGGATGTATGTTCTTTGTCCATGTTTTTGGTCCTCACCGCTTAAAGTTGGACCCTAAGGTGAAAAAATATGTCTTCCTTGGGTATGCATGAAATCAAAAGGGGTATTGTTGTTATGATCCAATCTCTGGGAGTCGGTATGTTACCATGGATGTCACCTTTTTTGAGTCCACACATTTTTTCTCAGGGGGTTCTTCTCAAGGGGAATGTTTTGGGGAAGGAAGTGAGCAATCTATACCACTTCCTGTTCTCCAATGTTTGACCCACCGACTTCACCACCTCCATTGCATCCTGCCTCTCAGTGTTTTACACGACAGTACCTACGACAGCACATGGAGGTTAATTCCACAACAGAGGAACCCACGTCACTCCCTATCGGCTCATCAGAGATTCCAGGTTCGACTGACACAAACCCATGTATGCCTCTTGTTTCCTCTAATGGTTTAGTTCCTATTGATACTACTATCCCTACTCCTAACACCGTTGCAGATGACCTAGATATCCCTATTGCACTTCGAAAAGGGAAGGAGAAGTGTATTGTTCATTGCATCTCACATAATCTTTCCTATAGTGGATTATCTCCTTCCTACCAGGCCTTCCTTTCCTCCCTCGACTCGGTGTCTATACGTAGAAGTGTTAGTGAGGCTTTCTCCAAGCCTAAGTTGGAAACAGCTATGCAAGAGGAAATGGAAGCATTGATTAAAAATTAGACATGGGAGATTGTGGATTTACCTAATGGCAAGGAGACAGTTGGATGTAGATGGGTATATACAGTGAAGTACAAGGCTGATGGAAGCATAAAAAGGTAGCAAGGCTAGTTGCAAAAAGGTACACACAAATTTATGGCATATATTACTTGAAGACTTTTGCACTAGTGGCAAAGATGAGCTCAATCCGAATTCTTTTACCACTAACAGTTACATACTCTTGGCCACTCTTCCAACTTGATGTGAAGAATTTTTTTTTTTACGGGGACTTGCAAGAGGAGGTCTACATGGATCTTCCATCTGGCTTTTACAATAATGTAGATAAAGGAAAGGTATGTAAATTGAAGAAGTCTCTATATGGTTTAAAGCAATCACCCAAAGCTTGGTTTGACAGGTTTAGAAGTGCATTGGTTGTATTTGGCTATACTCAAACTCAATCTAATCATACTCTTTTTTGTGAAAAAGAGGGGGTCACTAGTGTCAGTTTTGATAGTGTATGTGGATGACATTGTAGTCACAGGAAGTGATCTGAGTGAGATTGATACCTTGAAGAAGAACCTGCACAAAGAGTTTGAGATTAAGGATCTTGAGGAGCTGAAGTACTTTCTGGGCATTGAGGTGGCAAGGTCCAATCATGGGATCTTCATCTCACAGAGGAAGTATGTTTTGGATCTACTATAGGAGACAAGAAAACTTGGGGCAAGGGCAGCTAATACACTTATTGATCAGAACCATAGAATAAATGCTTCAAAAGGTGAGCTAGTAAAGGATGTTGGAAGTATCAGAGATTAGTGGGCCGGTTGCTATACTTATGTATGACACGACCAAACATCTCTTATGCAATGAGTGTGGTGAGCCAATACATGCATGCCCCACAAGTTCAGCATTGGGAGGCCATTGATAGGATACTTTCCTATTTGAAGAGACACCTAGATAGAAGCATATTGTTTGCTGACCATGGATAGTTGAAGTTAGAGGCTTACACAGATGTTGATTGGGCAGGGTGCCTAGATGATAGGAGATCCACATCAAGAGTTTGCACTCTTGTTGGAGGTAATCTAGTTTCATGGAAGAGTAAGAAACAAACAGTTGTGGCAAAGTCAAGTGCAGAAGTTGAATACAAAGCCATGGCACATGGTGTTTCAGAGATCATCTGGGTCCATTCCTTGTTAGGGGAAATTGGAGTTGAGGCCGAAGAACCTATGATGCTATATTCTGACAATCAAGCAGCAATTAAAATTACCCACAACCCAGTTCAACATGATAGGACGAAGTATATAGAAATGGATACACTTTATAAGGGAAAGGGTGACATCCGGAGAAGTGTACTTACCATATGTTGCATCTAACTTGCAACTTATTGATGTTCTTACAAAAGGCGTTGCAAAAAACAAGCTGGAGCATGATCTACGCAAATTGGGAATGTGTGACATCTATACCCAACTTGAGGGGGAGTGTTGAGTTTTGGGCTGATATCACTTGTTTTTTATTTACATAGCATAGTTAGGGAATTATTGGGCCCAAGGCCCATTAGTTTATGTTTAAGTCAAGAGTGTTTATTTAGATTTTACAAGTAGCCGACTTACTAAGGGCATACTTGTCATGGTATTCAGTTTTTATTTGTGAGTATATAACCTAATGAAAGGGGCGATCAGACCTAATTTTGTCTTCTCCCACTCTCTTCAATTTCTCTCTTCTTTTCTTCTCTGCATAAACCTTCTCTTCTCTTTCTTTTCCTCTTTCTTACACAGGTTTTATATCAAAACAGATCTTCTAAGGAAGTTTTGGTTGGAATTGGAGGAGTTATCTTGAGAGCTGATTGTTTTCTGATCTGGGCTAATAGTGGTCAAGTCACTGCTAGGGATGCCTCTGAAGCTGAAGTAGAAGCCTTCTTGAGGGTCTAAGATTTGCTAAGTGTTTGATCTCTGGTTTTTTGGTTGTGGAAGGGGGTTGAGAATAGTTATCTGTTGGGAAACAAAGTTGGAGACAGGTCTTTGGAGGATGGCTCACTTCCTGAATGAGATTCACTATCTTTCCTCTTTTCTTGGCTGCTGTTATAGATGGATTCCAAGATCTTTGAATCAAGTAGCTGACTTCTTAGCAAATTCTCATAGGGAGAGGAATTTTTTGTATGGTGCTAATAGCCTAAATTTGTCTTGAATGGGCTTTTTGCTTTTTTGTATCAAAGCCCTTTTTTATAGTAAAAAGAAAATTTTCATTAAAGAAGAAAAAAAGGTACAAGCTAATTAAGTGTCAAGACAACACCTACACAAATCATAAAAACAAAAATGCCGACACAAGATAAACCATCTGAGATACAAATTAGCAACCAAGATTTCCCCAAGACTGTCTTAATTTGACTTGTAAAAAATCTATCAACACCATGACCCAATCTGAAACAAATGACCAACAACCACCACCATCCTAACTGAGCTCCAGACCTTGCCTTCAGACACTTTTCTAATCCTTTCCTTATAATCCAGCAAATAGTGAAAGGTATGCAGTTCCAGATCAGCTTGGTCTTCTTGCTGCCACTGATTTCTGACCATGATGAGAAGTTCTCTGGAGGACTCCATTGATTGAGGTCCTCTTACATCAAAAACTGCTGTAAACTATTCTCAACATATTCTGCACCGGACCTTTTCTCCTTCTCTCGAACCCCACGCATTTCAAGACATCACTTTCATTTTCAGTTTCAGACTTCCCCTTCTTCTCCCACCTTCACTCTTCCACCAACTTCCTCAACTAGGTCTTCTCCCCGCCCTTCCCCTTCCTCCCACGCCTCCCCCCTTCTCCAATAGCTTTCTTTTTATTACTCTTCTCTCCTATTCCTTTCAAATTGCTCTATTGCTTTTCTAACCACACTTTCCCTGCCCAGGAGAAATAACCCAAGAGATTTCCCCACCGCCACCTGTCTCTCCACAAGTTGTTCAATACCCATGTTGCCCCCATTACTTCTCTCCCTTGCCAAACCTTCCTCTCCCTCAAGACCCTCTGATTCCTCTCTCCCCCCCCCCCCCATTAAAGCCTCCATCCCCTCCAACTCCTTCTGAACTTCCACTTCTCTTTCAATACCCATGTTGCCCCCATTACATGCATCTATAAGCTGAAGGAAAGGAATGTCTGTGGCTAAAGTGAAGAAATTGTTTCCATTTTATAATAGAGGACAAGCATCACCTCTACCCATGAGGCGCAGAAGAACACAAAGAGCCTTTCGGAAGGAGGCAAGCCATTAACTGAGTGTATTAAGGACAAGAAACCAGTAAAAAGGACTACAATGGAGAGGTCTGCTTCCAATACAGTTTACTTCTCTCCATCCTTCCATGTAGTAACCCTTCATGGATAGAAAATTTGCCAGAGTATCTAATGCAAGACAGAGAATAGAAAATAATCTTCTTCCTGTGTGAGGCACTCCAGGAAGCTGTTGTAACATTTTCTTTTCTCATCAATAAGATTCATTACCTTACTTTTCGGGAAAAAAGCTTCCTTTCTATTTCCCTTCTTTTGAACTGTTTTATTTCTCGCAGTCCTTGACTTGAAATACCATTTTTGTCCCCCAAATCCATTGTCTTGATGAAGTCAACCAACTCACACTTACTAGCTGACATCATGGCCTGCCAAATCATTTCAAAGATCCAATCTACAGGCTCAAAGAGAGCTTGACTGAAATTGTCTATCCAGCCCAAAGTGCACTTTCCCAACCCACTCATATACAACAATGTCCTTGTAGCCGATGAAACCCTCATACCAAATGCAGACTCATTACCACAGCTCATTTTCCCAACCTGCTCATATCCAACATTGTCCATGTAAACTCACCAGCCATCTCCATTTCCACTATGAATTGGGGAGAAGCACCTAGCATCAAGCCAATATATCTAAGCTAAGAAAAGCCCACAACACACTGGTTTAAAGGGTGATTCAAATTCTTCTGGTCGTCTTACCATAAAAACTAACAAGTTTTTCTTTCTCTGTTGTCTTAGCAGCTTTGTCAGAGGAGCATTAGTGCAAGACCAGATTCCCTAAAGAGAAAGAAACCAAAACAAAGATAAATCCATCCAGTACTGGGACCTTCCTAGCAAAGATTGGGAGAAAAACCTTGACATGGATGAAAATACAGAAGTGGCAGGAAAAATTGGATTTGTTCACAATCATAAGAGTTAGCACTGGAAATCTGTTGAAAGCAAAGTCAGTTCCAAGAATCCATACACTAGAAATCTAGAATTTGGTCATTGGTGGAGCTTTAGCCCTGCAGCTGGATCTCAAGGAAGCAATTGGTCTTGAAAGTAGGAAGGTGATTTTGGAAAAAGATGATATAATCCTCAATTTGTCCCTAAAGTTTCAAAGCAGTCAAATGCAAGCCTACATGAGTCAGATGCTCATGCTTTTCCTTCTTTCTCTCTTCAAGAAACATTTGGCCATTTATTTTTGCAGATCTTGTAATTCTGCAACCTACAATGCAGAATTTTAAAAGGAGGACCTCAAGCATGCTTGTCTTACAGAGAAGGCCAATTTCATGGGGTGCACCTCACCTTGGTTCTTGCTATATATTGACAAAATTAACCTTGAATTTGATCTTGAATAGGTAGTCTGTATATTATAGGCTTGTGCCTACAATGTTTAGAGTTTAAACAGTTTAGCCTATGTAGGATTGAACAATACAAGGCTACAACCTTTGTCTTTCCATGACATTCTAACCAATTGAGTTAATAGGCTTTTCTGAAAAATGTGATCTTTTTCAGAATTTAGATTTGTGTATTGTTATTATTATATTTTGATTTTTGTCCCAAGAACCTTACCTTGTTTAGGCACACCTTGCCTTGCAGCGTGTGCCTTAGGCTCTAGGAACACCATATTCTTTCTCTATGCATATCACTTATAACACACTAGGTTGGCTGCAGTTGGCTAGTCCATTTGGGAGAATCTGAAATTTGATCAATTCATTCTTTTCTAGTCTACTAAATGAGGGGAGAAGCCATAGGAAGAGGGAATAAAAGAGCAACAGAGTACAGTATATTTCTAAATAATGGATAATGGTTTCATTTTATTTCGTTATTGAGATAAGCTTGGGTGACTGCCTTATTCATTTTAGTATAATTAAATAATATCCATCCAACAGTTACAAGTATTGTAGCTTCAAACTCTTACATTGATACCACCTATTGGATGGACAGTAACTATAGAAATTACACTAAAATTGTCCTAATAATTTGGCAAATTGATAGAATTTTAGATGTTTCAATTATGGAATTGGTCTTCCCTATGAAATTATTTTTGATGATATAATTTTCATCCAATGACCTGTGAAAAATGGAGTCAATGGAATGCAAAATGTTCCAACTCTGATTGCAGCATACACATTTAAGTGGCATAGACTCTTCTTTTTTTCTATTTGATTCCTCTTGTTTTGATAAATTAGTAATAGTTGAGCTGATATTTTCATTTTTTATCCAAAACTAAATTTCCAATATTTCTGCCTTTCTGTTGTTCATAAATCAGAAAATTGTAACTGAATCATTTCTTTCAGTTCAACTACAACTTAATCATATGCAAACATAAAATGATTAAGCACCCAACTATATCATGAACAAATGATGTTTTTATATAACAATTACTGGTCAGATTAACACTTGTTATTCTCTTTCTGTACATCTGCTTAACCTAAGTATCAAATTCAGTATACATGGACAGAAAAGAATCATGAAATGTCTACATACCGTGGACGAACCGATCGAACTAAGACCTGCGTACAGGTTCTCTTTTAAAGAAACTCCTTTTGGATGGTACAACACTCTGGATAACCCCAATCTTGGCAATGCCACCCCACTTTTATCATGCACGAAAGCCGCAATACCAGTTGGGTACTGAGAAAAAGCACAAAACATCCCTGAATCCAGAAACAAAATTGCTCAAAACCCATAATTCTCGCAAGAAAAATACTTCAAAGTTATTTGACAACCCAGAAACAGCCATAAACCCCACAACATTGCAACAATAACATTGACGGAAGAAGCGCACGAGATAGAAGCCAAACATCGTAGGAAAGAGAGAAAAGAAAAAGAGAATAATCTACAAGCAAGACTAATAACCTGGGTTTTGTATGCTGTTCGAGTTCAGTGCTTCAGTTTCTTTTACTCGAGCCCGAATGTAAAGCTACCATGTACACTCTACACTGTACAGCGTTATCCGGTGTAAGACTGCAAGCTGATTTTTTCGGTTGGATATCAGGAAATGTGCCAAGCTGAGGGAATCGCTTTGCCCCTAAAAACCGAGCCCATCTCCGGGAAAATCTATGATGGGGAAAAGATACGGTATGAGAAGAGTTTTGACCAATCAAAATTCACCCATGAATTTTGATAAATAACATCTGATTGGCTATTACGATTCCAGTTGATTGGTCATAGCCTGACAACAACATTGGGAAATCTTATGTTAAAATGGGAAGATATTTCCAATGTATGGTTGATGCTTTCAGGAGATCCCGACTTTATGAAAGTTGATGCTGTTTATGTTGTCCAACAGAAATAAATTTTACACCTATTTCAGTTTTGTTTTGTATCTTTTTGTTTTGCACTCTTACTTCGTACAAAATTTGTATGTATTTTTTGTCTCATTTGCACATATTGGTAGTTTGATACTGCAAATTCAAACCAGAATTTACATTCAGCCTATTTGCACTCTCCAATTTAACTCTAATGCATTTCAAAATTTTTATTATATTTTTTGGTAATTCAAAATTTTTATTATATTTTTTGGTAATTCAAAATTTTTATTGCATGTTATACCAAAATTTCAACCAATGAGATAAAAAATGTAACATAATCCGCTAACTTTTCATTGATTCATATTTCACAAGATGTATTTTAAAATTTCACGTGATATATATCTATATAAAACTGATACTTGATTATATAATGTTAATTTATATCTTTAGTCTTTATTTGCATAATGCATAGCACGTGCCCTTATACTGGTTTGTTCATATTTGAATAATTAATGCTATAGCAATTTCCATAGGATACACCATAGTTTTTGTCGTAAAAACAATGTTGTATAGTTAATAATAAATATTTCAAACTGGCTTGAAAACACAAATATTTCAAATTGCTGCAATTTCTACTATACAATCCAAATTATTTTCATAATCAACTTATAAGGGATAATCAGCATTACATCTAAAGATGTTGCATAAGCACTATATATAATATAATTATAAATTCAGTCAAATAAATAATAAGAAGTGGAGACAAAAAAACAAACCTTTCTTAGATGACGTTTTCTAAAATAGAATCTTGAAACCAAGGATATTCTTTATAGCCCTCCCTAGAATGTATGAACCAGTCAGAAGAAATTTGATTATATTCTCAAGGCCACTTATTACTAATCATAATCCTTCTTATGTTGAAAAACTCTATTAGATTTTTTTTTTTTATAATTATCCCACTCACTTGCTTGGTTGAAGAACCATCTAATCTTGTTGGATTTTTGGTATATATAATGTTATGTATGACTTGGTTTAAAAATTAAAACATTTATTTAGATTCTGGACACTAATACCTTTGAAATAGCAGTTTTTTTTTTTCTGGAAAGTGGTTTTATATTTTTTTCGTCATGTGCTTAAATGTCATTGAATTTTGGGAATTTTCATTTTTGGATAATGCGATTGACTTATGAAAAATATTGGGTAGATTAATTTTGGCCAAATTTTAGGAATTTTTTCTCATTAATTTTGTCCAAAATATTCAAAAAATAAAATATTTTGAAATACTATAAAATATTAATAAAATAGTTATACTTTAGCACAAATAAAAAATCCAAACTTTGAAAAAAAAAAGTTATCACGGACTCACGGATAAAGGGTCCAAAGTTTCCAAAATTTAAGACCTTGCTTTCCATTTGTTTCTGTAATTAGATAATTATCCTTGAAGATGGATTCCATTCCTTCCTTCTTTGCTGTTATTTGTTTATTTGTTTGTTTATCTAAGGCCATGACTCTACTTAGTGCCAATTATAACTCAGCATAGTTAGGGTTTGAATGCAGATAGTTGATTCAACCAAGTTAATAGTGGACCATTAGGTTGTTTAAAAGAGTGTCTTCAAGTTGAGTGAACATGAAAACTTGGCGGGAGTATTATTTATGTTACAAACACAAAGAGAGAGAGAAAGAGAGGTCTTTAAACTTAAAATTGACCAAGACCTCAAGTTGAGTAATGTTCATACTTTTCAACCCAACCCAATTTTTTGAGTTGGGTTTGGATTAACCTGGCCCAAGTTGCACCTCCTAATGTCAGCCCTTACTTTTTAATCGATCATTTGGTGATTGGCCCAAAGCTTTGCCTAAACTTTTGTGCCAATTTGTAGAGTTCAGACAGCATACTCAGCATAGACATTCTCACTCTTCATCACTCTTTCCAGAATTCACAATTTGGAGAGTGAATGTGACTAGGGATTCTGTTAAACTAATTAAGTCTCAATTAATCCAAGCTACTTGCAATTGGTCCACTGAATGCTACTTTTCGATTTCTCTTGCATAAAGCATGTTTAGTATATATTGTGCTGTTGCATAAGTGTTACAGATCTGGTTCTCCATCACATAAGTTTTACATAGATGTTTTGACTTTATCAAACCAAAATCTTGTTTGGTTAGATTGATCACGTACAAACGGGAGGGGTAACTAAACCGTAAAAGTGACTTTAATAAATATCATTTGATTTTTTTCCTCTAGAGAGAATTTCCATTTTGTATATCATACATGGCCCCTAATGGCTAATGGTACTTAATTGAAGTGATGTATTATAAAAAACAATAAACCATTATACACTGTAAATGGTGCGAAACACTCCAATTCCCCTAATGGTGATGAATTGATGATAAATGACAATAAACCATTGTACATTTTAAATGGTGCAAAATACTCCAATCTCTCAATTTCTAATATATCAAGTATAAATACAACACTTGTGCTGCAACACCAAATTACCATGCACGAACTCTTATTGACAAGCAATGTTTTCAATTCACTGTTGACCCGACTAGTTGAACCATTCGAGATTTATGTGTTCCAAAGATTCTTAGGCATGGATTAAAATATTGATACGAAATGTTCGATATAGGATGTTTGTATCGATATTCGTATTAGACAATCCTCGATACGCTACAACTGCCATTGTATTGTGCCGCTTGTGCGTATTAGTATGATACAGTGCCATATCAATGCGTATTGGACACATGGACTGATACGCATCAGTACACACAGAAACGTGCACAATGCAGCTAGTGTGATTCGAACCATGGTTTAATTAATCAGATACTAAGCACTAAGCGTCTAAACCACTAAGCCACCCTTTAATTTGCAATAAAAAGTGAAATAAACTAATTTTATTATCTTTATTTAAAATGCAATCAAAAGAAATGCCATATTAAAAATAAATATGTTCAAAGATTAATATTAAAAATTAAAGCTTATAATTATAAATGAAATAAAAATTCTACTAATTTTATATTTATATCAAAGATTTATTTTCTATTCTCAATAAATTTATACAAATAAAAATATTAATAACAGAATAATTATTTTAGTACATAAAATCCATACATTTGTACATATTTATTCTTAATTGATATTTTAATGTACACTAGATAATGGCATATTTATTATTTATAAAAATAAAAATTTCAAGCATAAATATTATATCGTATCTATCAAATCCACTAATTTAAATTTATATCAAAAATAATTTCTCATTTTAGAAAAAAAATATTGAAATAAAAATGTTAATAATGGAATAATTATTTTATTAATTAAAAATTATGAATTTGCATACGATATCTATTTTAAAAATGTTAATATCTAGATATGAAGTATTTTAAGTTAAGATTATATATTTTAAAATTTTCAATTAATATTTTAATTTACATTTTATAATAAAATATCTATTATTTACAAAAAGAAATATATTGTTTATCAAACATTTCAAAATTTAATATTTAATTGACTTTTTTGTTAATGTTGAAAAGTAAAAATAGTAAAATAGAAAATAATTGATATAGTAATTAAAATATAATAATCGAATATGTTTTGTGTCTTGGACTTAAATAGAATATAACATAACAATGGTTTATGCATGTGTTATTTTGTAAAGATCTATATATATGAGTCTTGGATTCTTGATTGATGGATTGTCAATATGATATCTATGCATCCCATTATATTGATTGTAATATATTTTTAATATATACCATTAAAATATACATTTTTTATGTATTTATATCTTATTTGTGGTTATTTTGACCTTAAAGCTAGTGTAGTTGAAGTATTTATGAAATTTGTATATATTTTTTTAGAATATTCATGTATTTTCATATCTTTTGTTCGTATCTATGCATTTCCAAAGCATATCCATATCCAAGTCCGATACAATACCCAATTCTAATACTGTAATCCTTGGCCATAAGTGCCTTGCCCCACTATTTTTGTGCAAAACACCCCTTTTGACCTCAAATTGCAAATTTTAATATTTTTTATAAATAAAAAAATTAAAAACATATATTTAATTTACAATAATACATGTAACATATCTAAAACATATTTATACATTACTTATTGCTAAAATAAATATTTATACACATTTATATACATACACATACACATAAGCTTACATGGCATGGTCTGAAACGTTTGACCCAACCAGTCAAACCGATGACCTATGACCCAGAGTAAAAAATGACTCAACCTCTGAATTGGTTTTTAAAACATTGTTTACAAGGATGATGTTTGGCATTCTAACACCATTTGCTAACTCTGCAAAACATGCCGGATTTTTCAATACTTTTTTTCTTAAAAAGTGTTAAAATATTAATTAGTTTAACATGTTATATTTTTTTACTTCATCTCAGTTTTGGAGAGCACAAATATATATATATATATATATATATATATATATATATATATATATATATATATATTAAAACAAGACAGTGAAGAAATTTTCTCCTTTTTTTGAATTTTATATTTTTTATTCCATGCCATTTTTTAAAGAACCAATGAGACGCTCTCCTTCCTAATAAAAATTATCTAAAATCTCTCTCTCTCTCCGATACATACCCAACAATCTCCTCTCCTAAAATTTATCCTAAACTACCTCCCCTACGTTTTCCTAAATCATCTCCAACTACCCAAAACCTACTAACCATTAGTTAAAACCAACTAAATCAGATTATATTGGTTTGAGTTGATTTTTGTTTTGCTTAACTGGTTTAAAAGATTAAATTGAAAGCTTAATTTTAAATTTTAAAAATTACATTAACATTATTAATAAATAAATTTATAATATGAAATATTTGAGACTAAGAAATATGGGAATTTCCCCACTTTTTCGTATTAAAAAATTATATTTAAAATATAAAAAATAATAATATATATCTGCAATTGGGTCATTTGATTTTGATCAATTTACAAATGGCCACAACAAAACTAATCCAATTTCAACCAAAAATATTTTAAACTGAGCAATTCAGGTTGAGTTAGCCGGGTTGGTTGGTTTCATCAGTTCGATGAACAAGCTTATCTGAAATAAATTATTGTTATTTTTGTATCGTAAAAAAGTTATTAAAAGTTATATAAAATATAAATAATTAATAATTATTTAAAAAATTAGAAATATAAAACAATTGTATACTCTTATGTGTTTTATTGTTTAGCTTTCCTTAACAAATGTCGTGCATCAAACAAGTCCCTGTACAAAAAGGACAGAGAAGCCTAGAACTAGAAGGAAATTTATTTGGCCATCATTTTAACCATCTTAATTCAATTCAGAATCCAAGATAAATCTTCATGTAAATCTGAATTAGATGTTGTTCAAGAGTGCAAGATAAATCTGAATTTAATTCAGGTAAAGAATAAAATCAATAAATTCTTCATGTAAAAACAAGTGTCAAGTAAGACAAAAGTTATCAATAAAATAGAAAGTCAAACTGTTTTATAGAAAGAAAGCTGAAATATTTATATTTCAAGAAACTTTCTAAATTCTAATCTAAGTAAAAAATGACATCTAATTCTAATTGTAATTGACTAATTAGTTGCCTATTTGGTGTAAAAGACTATAGAAAATAGGATAGATACAATTTAGTTAAATAGGAACTAGAACTCTAGAAGACTAGTTAAGTAGGAACTAACTAGAAAACTAATTGGTTCGGTTTGGTTTTGGTTTTCACACAAGAAAACCGAAACCAACCCGATATATCAGTTTATGAATTTGCCCAACCCGAAACCGACTGGTGCAAATAAAAACCCGGGCAACTCGGATTGGGTTGGTCCGGATTGGTCGGGTTGGGCCTTGAACAGCCCTATTTCCAACCTGAGACTTCGGAACATTCTGCTTCAAATTATTACAACTTAGAAAGGCGACATAATAACACGCAATTTTCTGCTTTTCCAATATACCACATCATAACTCCCCCGC